CTGTGAGTCATTCTAGCCAATTATTGAACTCATCGGGGGCAGTGAGAACCAGCAGAGAGGCTCACGTTTCCTATTTGGCAGGGGCTAGAAGGACAGACCTAGCTGGTGGAGACCCGACTCTGGGTCAGAGAGAGAAAGTGCCACATGGGTGGCTGGCGTCAGAAAGATGAAGTGGGAGGTGGAGATGTGACTTATCCTCACATTTTGGAGGTTAGCCCTAAGTTGGCTGTTAATTCATACACGTACTTTCCTGTGGAGACCGCTTCATGATGTCAAGTCTTCCAGGGTATTAACAAAGAGACAGATGGAAGAGTGGGGCTTTACAGTAGGGGCAGCCCACATGATGGAAGAGACCAAGAGTCATGGCTTTCTAGAATTGAATTTGCTTCTGAATCCACAGGTTCTGGTCTCCTGGATCAAGATGCATTAAGCAACAGAAGAAAGAGGAGGTTCCCCGTTTGGCAGAGCATTGTTCTGGTAACAGACTGACCTGAGGCATCTACTCCAGCTTCCAAAGACGTGGTCCAGGGAGGACAGAACACATCCTAGACTTACTGGTCCTTTGTTATAAACAAGAAAATGACCAAGGCCCAGGTGAGGTTTGTTTGACCATATTATCTTGTTTCCCAATGGATTTCTGGAAGCTTTTAAAAGCCATTTTGACCAGATGAGACTGAATTGGTAGAAAATATTATGACCTGGTGGGAAATAAGTGTAGGTTGTAATGTTAAAACCAAGCCAAATTAGGAAGCAAGATGGAGGCCGCAGGGTTCATGTAAAGTGCCGAGGGCTGGAACATTGATGAGGGACTGTGAAAGACCACGTGCATTTGTTCAGCTGGGAAATTGTGTGCAATTTTCTTGGCCGTCATGATATTAAAGAAAAGAAGAAAAACTTAACATGATTTGTCATGTCTGTGAGGGGCAGGCACACCAGCTCTCAGGGCCAGTAACATTTTCATTGCTCTTGGGTTTAAAAAATTCCTCGGGGCAAGCAAAGAGTGTAATACCAAAGCACAACTTAAGTGGAAAACAACTCTGGAACCTTTGGTTGCGCCATGGAGCCTTCTGGTCTGCCTTTACCCCAAAAGAAAGCCTGGATTAGCCAGTAGAAGGGGTGGGCCGCTTGCCCTAAAGATGGCCCTCTCTGGAGAATTTTTGGAACCAAATTTTTGTTTTTCTTTGGCAGGGGACAGCTGAACGTTCCATTTTTGGATAAAACCTTGAAGTACAGATATTGACAGTGCGAACTTTGTCCCTTCTTAACACCAGGTTCAAGAAGTGAAGTCACATCTAATTATCCTTGCTTTGATTTTCCTGTTTTTACATAAAGCAATTAGACTCAAGCAGTAGGAAGAGAAACAACCTGATTTTCATATTTTTAATGATGAAAATGACACTTCTGCATGCCAGAGATTTAAGCAAACAAGTATTTGTAGAGTTAGAGAATATCTTTCGTTTTTTCCTAC